CCCCCTCCCCCTCACACACACACACATTTTCCCCTGGGGGAGTCAGGGAGCCGCAGTGTTTCGCAGCGTGATGTAATTCCTAGGAAGCACTCCTGCCCGTCTGTTACCCAGGCCTACGAGGGGGGTCTGCTCCTCACCCTCCTCCTCCTCCTTGGCCGGGTCCTGCACCCTGAGTGGCCGAACGCCCTGCGAGGTGGGTTTGCGGGCTATGCATCTGACCAGCTCAGTTTCTGCTTCTGTGTCCGCGTCAGTGCGTGCGTGTCTATCCTGGTGCCGGCTGTTCTCTCAAAGCTCGCCAGGCCCTTAGTGTAAACCAACTTCCTGAGATTACTCCCCGAGCCCCTCAAATGTCATATGAATAGTACTGCACTAAATCGGCCTCAATGGGCAAGAGTGCAGACCAGAAACTTCAAAGGTGAACTGGTAGTGAGGAGACCTGAGTCCTGGCTAGGCTCCAGCCTGATGTAACTATGTGAACCTTAGACAAGTCACTTTTGTGGCATCATATCCCTTACTTTTTGCATTAGTGACAACTACATTACTCTCATCGTCCTGCCTTTCTGTGATTCTAAATAAACCTGCATGATGCTTTCCCTTCTAGAAGCAGTTTCTCTCACGGGAGACGGATATTGGAGTGACACTTCTGGTTAATTTTCCCTTGGATGAAGAACAGAATCCAAGCTTCAAAACTCAAACTCATTTTCCTTTGTGGTGGATGTGATTGGAGTCTGGAAAAAGCTGGAGAAGAGAGATTAGGAGTGAATGACTCAAGTACTCACCAGCATTCCATGGAGTGGAGTTAGGAGGTCTCCTTGTGACAGTGTAAAAACACTCTACTTTCTTTCCCCCAAGGATCTAGTTTTTCCTCTCAACCTGTGCTGTCCTCCACCCTCCAGAAGTTTGTCATCTGTCTACGAAAGAAAACACATTGTTTCACAGTCTTTTTGCAAAACCTCAGCAGTTGGGAAGTTTGGCCAGTTTCAGCTGAAAACATTCTCTTAAACTTTCAAGTCTAGACAATATCTAGAATTAGACTATTAAAGGTACTGCCTAAAAGGAAATCTCGCTTTGATGGAAATAAGAACAGCTCATTGGTTGTCTGAGTTGAGTTGATTCTGAAATCATGTGTGACTGCAACCTGGAGCGTAGTAGGCTCTTAAACAATGCTCCTTTCTGTTTGATGTGCTTTAGGGGGCTGGCACTAGTTTGTTTTCTTAGGAAGATTAAATGTTCCAGAGCAATTTTGTCACTGCTGTGAATTAACTAAAGAAAATAATTTTTCAGTAACGAGTTCAAAGGCTAACTTCTAGCCCAGCCCTCCTGAGATGGTAGGTTCCAATTAGGGATGTTTTATTGTGCTGTTCTCTGTACCATCAGTCTCGTCTCTCCTCCTGCAAATCACCTATTTTTGTTTGAAAACCAACCCAGATCATTCAGCCTTTTATTTAGGTTGGCTAGATTGGACTGAACAGAAAAAAAAAGTCCCTTGGGAATGAAAAACAAACCATGTTAGACAATAGTTTGGGTAACCTGTTTATAGACTGTCCATGGGGTGAAGACCAGGGAGAAAAACACAAAGGAGAAAGAACTCGCCGTCGATCACCACCCTCCATGACTGTTGTAGTCTAGTTAAGGGGGATACGACAAGCACATGAAAAAAACATTTAAAAAGTGTGGGGAAAAATCTATTCCCTTAACAGTGTAGACTAGTGTTTCACAACCTTTGAAGAACCCATGCCCACTTTTGAGAAATATTACAGTTCCATGCTATGCTCTGAATGCTGTTCAAAATTTTATAATACATTATGGTGACCCCCCCCCCCAAGTCAAAAACAATTATAATATAAGCTATATCATTTTCATGCTGCACTTGTCCTTCACTGTGGGGTTCTGAAATGGCCCACTTGGGGAGCTTACAGTTGGTCACCCAATCTATGCCCATTATATTTAGGTACTGGGTGAATTTGGGGATGCTGTTTGCAGAGACTAAGTAATACTAATATTACTAATACTAATAGTAATACTAATGCTTCTGCGGCTCTATTGAAGAGGGAGCTTGACAAGCAGGTAGAGCTGAGCTTCAGCTGGGCTTAATGAAGAAAAGGATATGTTATCTGAGTAGCGAGAGTAGGAGATTGACAATTTGAGTCTGCATGCAGCTCAGCCACTCAGGGTGCAGGTCCCAGCCAAGGAGGAGGATGAGGGTAAGAAGCAGACACTCCTGCCCCCCGCCCGCCCCCTCCCCCCAGTTGGGCACACTGTACTATGGATACAAGGATCTGGATACAGAAGATCTGGATGGAGGAGGAAATATCACAAACAGGGAAAGTCAACACAAAGACAACCTCTGGATCCGGTGGCTCTCAGTGGGAATTCTAGCCCTGCCACTCACCAGCTGGGTTACCTGCGTAGCATCTTCACTCCAAACTTCCATTTCCTCATCTGTCAAATGGGATTGACACACACCTCTCAGAATTGTGCTCTGTAAAGGAGGAGGTAGGGCATGTTTAGCTCAGCACAGCACCCGGAGCAGAGTGTATAGTGGGCAATAGTCTTTCAACAAATGTTAGTTCTTCAGGGGACCCCACTGCCCTCAACAAGCCAACCATCTCAGGTATGGGCCAGAGAGGCTTGAAGGGGCTGGGATGCTGTTGAAATCAACTGCAACACCTCTGGGCCTGCTTTCTGTCCACTCAACATGTGCAACTGAGCTAGCTATTCTCCACCTCTGCAGGCCCTCGAGTTTGGGGGAGGGGCACTGGCATTTCTTGGGGACTCAACAGCCGACCCATTTCAATGCTTCTGCGGCTCTATTGAAGAGGGAGCTTGACAAGCAGGACAAAGAGGGTTGTATTTCTTCAAAAGGAAGCTGTGGGGTGGGAGATGGGCCAAGGGAAGGATGGCGATCAGCTCAGCTTTCTGATCAGGCCCTCACGGTGGGGGGGTGTTTGGACTTTCGTGGAGATGGGCTAGGGCCTTGGGCCTTGGCAGCCAGTGTAGGGAGAGTCTAGTGAACCAGGTGAGCGGAGGTCCATTCTTGGCTGTCCTTATCCCAGGATTTCTGTCCCTCTCCCTGCAAATGCTCCGGGCAAGGGAAATTGAAACCCTCCTCTGAACAACTGCTTCGGCAACTCCAGATCAAGGCAAGAGGACCCAGGGTGCTTTTATGCGTCGTTTCTTATTTCCAGCTGATTCGAAGAACAATTCAACAATCTTCCTGCTTTTTTGGTCCTGGAAACATAAACTTGAGGCAGCCTGGGTGATGTACAAAGGACATGAGGCGGGATGTTGGAAACCTGCAACCTACCGGCTGTGTGACCTCGGGCAAGTCAGCTTACCTCTCTGGTGCTCCCCTGACATAGAGAAGACATGATAGCTGCCATCTTTTAGGCCTGGCATCATCCCAGGCATATGAAAATCATCCCCCTCTGATTATGACTGTCTCTCGGGTCTCATAATAGTTGAATTTGATGGGCTTTTTCTTACTGAGACCCAAAGTAGCACTTGTTGAACCTGACCCAACTTAGCAAAGTGAGGAAAAGTCCGCCAGGAGGCTTGGCACTTTCCTGGGTGGTGGAAGAATGAGAGAGTGGAGAGGACTTCCGAGGCCAGACGGAGGGTGATGGATGCCCCATGGCCTGCCGGGGACCAGCTTCACAACACTTCCAATTTTGTGTGTCCTATTGGTGACGGGACTCTAGTTCACACAGTGAAGTTCTGACCAGCATAGGCATTTGAGGGGTGCGGGTGCAGAAAGGAGGAGAGAAAGGAGGGAGAGGGAAGGCCAATAACTCCCAACCTTAGGCTGGGGTGGGAAAATGGGGAAAGAAATGTGAAATGCATTTCCAGGAACAGAGACAAAGCTAAAGGCCAAGAGGAGGAAAGGCGCTGGTTGCAGCCGGGCAGCCCAGCCCCATCCCTTCCCCAGCCGGGCTCCCGCTCCGCCTGCGGCCCCCTCCCCACCTGGCTCCACGCTGGGGAAGGGGAGCCGACTCTGGAGCCCGGTGGCTCATTCATCTCCTGATAAACTGTTTATCTGAGTTTTAACGAGGGCGCCTCTCTTCCAGCCCTGGAGACAGGAGCCTCCTCATGTTTAGCCTGCCCTGATGTGGGGGGCCCAGGCGGGTGTGGGGGCGACGCCAGCAGGCCTGGCGTCTGCCCTTTTGGAGCCTGCACACCCTGCCTCTGCGCTGGGCCCTCCGCTCTCCTGCTCCGTGTGGTGTTTGCTCCGCTGGAGTCTGGGGCTTGGATGGACCCGAGGTTTCCCTCTGGAAAGGAAATCTTTGTGCAGTCCCTCTCTCTCCAGCCACTGCGCGGTGTGTGCACACACACACACCACACACACACCACACATGCACCACACACACACACCACACACACACCACACATGCACCACACACACACACCACACACACACACACACACACACACAT